TACTGGAGGAGCAAGGGTGCGGGCATTGAAGAATGCAGAGGAACAGATGCCGACTCCAACGGTGTGAGCCTGGGTGGTTGGGGAAGAGAGTACGCTTATCAAATGAAGCATTTCATTCGTGGGTCAAAGCAGCTTCTTCCTTGTTTTAATAGCTTGATAGTGTATTTATTAGCCACGTATAAGTACACACACACCAGTCCAGATTGTGTCACAGCAGGTATCAGAAGCTATTCTTCAATGAAATTTACTTTTCCTTATTTGCTATACCTCATGCTTCTCAGGTATCTCCTATATATATTTTTTCATCTGTTGTTACATTTTGCCCCATTGCTTTATGCTTTGTGTGCACATGGCCTCTCTTCCTCCCTCTTCTGTCTGTATATACAACACTTTCTATCACATTCTCTTTCTTTCTTTCCCCCCCCTACACATACACTAATTTTTCCTTGAACCATTTGACAGCAAGTTATAGAATTGTGGTTCTTTATCCCTAAATACTCTAAATAGGGGTATTGTCTTACATACTTAATAGTATAGTTATCAACCTTGGTAAATTTACCATTAACATAATACTCTAATCTACTGTTTATGTCCCAGTTTTGTTATTTGACCCAATATGATCTTTATACTTTATCTATAGTATAAGATCTGGTCTGTGATAATGTACCGCATCTAGTTTTCATGTCTCTTTAGTCTTTTTTATGACAGTGACATTTTTGAAGAATACAGGCGCCCTCCCCTTTTTAAAAAAAAAAAAAAAATTTTTTTTCATTTGGGTTTATCTGATGTTTCTTCATTAGATTCAGGTTATACAGCCCTGGCCAGAATATTACTTAAGTGATGCTGTGTCCTTCTCAGGGTATCATCCTGTGGAGAGATACTTTAAGACCATGCAAATATCCTACACTTCATCAAAATATGTCACCAGATCTAGCATCTGTTCATGGTTTTTGCCTCAATCTTTCTTCATGTGGTTGCAAAATGATGATTTGCCAACTCCATCTCTCTTCACCTTTACCATTTCATAGTCAGCATTCAGTTGTATTTAAGAACAAACTCAGGTTCTTTCTCTCTTCTTCCTTTTCTCTTTTCTTTCCTTCCCCACTCTCTCTCCCTCTCACTCTCCTTCTCTCCCTCCCTCTTTCTCCCTTCCTCTCTCCCCTTCCTTCTCCCTCCCTCCCTCTCTCTTCCTTTTTTCCTTCCTTCCTTCCTCTCTCCCTTCCTTTCTTTTTATATTATGTATTGGTACAGACGCATGGATTCCCATATTTTTCAATAGGTTTAGAATTTATTACTGCCCCTTAATTATTTTGGTGCTCAAATTCCCCCGCTTTGGCTAATGGGTACCCTTTTAAGCTAGTTCCTATGTCCCTGTGACATTCCTCATCATTTCTTGAGCAGTTTCTTATTGTCTTGCAAGACATTTCAGTCTCATTTTATAACTTCTCTACCCTGACCCTGGCGTCAGCTACTTCTTTGAGGAGTCCTGGTTCCTTTTAGTGGGACATGATATTAGAAACTAAGATTTGGACACTAGATATGCTCATTGCTACTAGGATGTCTTCACTTCTAGATCATTTCAGTGGACAGAGCTGGGAAATATGTTTTTATGCATAAATATGAACACATAATGCACATACTTATTTTAGAAATCATAAGCCCAAATCCATATCTTCAGTTCCAGTCCATCCCCACAGGGTTCTTCCTTACCTTCCCTTGTTCCAATATTTGTATGTCTGTCTTCCAGCAACATCAACACATTTACTGATTTCCTCAGTTCTATAATGCCTCTAAGTGTTTTCATAATTGCTTTACTCATTCTACTACAGAAGCAAACCTACAAAAGAGTTCAGGATTTGTTTGCAGTTCTTTCTCACACCCCACTCAAGATTGGGAATACCAGGTTCATAAATTCTTTTGTACTTTGCTTTTTACACCTTTTTTTTTTTTTTTACACCTTTTTAAAACTGGAAATCATCCTATCATCATTCTCTGTTCTTTGAGATCTTCATTCTTTTTTTATAATTTTAGTACTTCATTGATTGTATGTACCATAACGTATTCACCCAGTTTCCTATGCTTAGACATTTAGGTACTGTGCAGTATTTTGCAATTACAAATAGTGCTGTAATGAATAACTTGTACATATGTATTTTTGGATTGTTGGAGGTGTATCTTCTAAATTCCTAGAAGTGAGATTGCTGGCTCAAAGAGTAAATGCCATCTAAAAATCTAGTGGGTAAGAATTGATATTTCAGTGTCACTTTATTTTGCATTATGAATAGAGCTGAACATTTTTTCATGTGTTTAAGGAATGGATATGTGTGTGTGTATATAGAGAGAGAGTCGTTTACTCATAACTTTCTCCTTTTCCTATAAGATTTTTGGTCTTTTTTTTCCTCTAGAATTTTGAATTATTTATATCTTAGAGACATTAACCCTTTATCTCTGATATATGTTGCGAATATTTTCTCCTGGTTTGCTGTTGGTCTTTTTGACTTTGCTCATATTATCTATTGCCATTCAAAAAATTTTTACATTTACAAAGTCAAATGTATAAATCTTTTATTGTATCTGGGTTGTGAGTCATGGTAAGAAAACATTTTCTACACCTACGTTTTGGAGGAATTTACCCAAGTTTTCTTCTAGTACTTTTATAGTTATACTTTTTACATTTAGATAACTGATCCATTGGGCATTTATTTTTTGTATAGTGTCTTAGTTCGTTTTATGCTGCTATAACAGAATACCTGAGACTGGGTAATTTTTAAAGAACAGATTTATTTCTTACAGTTCTGGAGGTTGGCAAGTCCAAGGTTGAGGGGGCCACATCTGGGCCCTCTTACTGCGTCATCCCATGATGGAAAGTAGAAGGGCAAGAGAATGTACATGTGTGCACATGCAAGAGAGGGAGAGAGAATGTGTGCCGTAAAGAGCCAAACTCCCTTTTATATCAAACTCACCTCCACTATAGTGACATTAATTTATTTATGATCAGAAACTTCATGGTCAAATCACCTCTTAAAGGTCTCACCTCTCAACATTGTTGCATTGGGGATTGTTTCCAGAACCTGGACTTCAGAAGACACATTCAAACCACAGCATATGGTGTGAGGAATGGGTCTAATTTAATCCTTTACCACTTGTCCCAACACCATTTTTTTAAAGTCCGTCTTTGTCCCAATAATTTGAGCTACCACCTTCATTATACACTAGATTTCTGTATGCAGTTGGGGCTATTTCTGGACTTTGTATTTCATGAAGTATTTTTAAGGTCAATGGCTTCCAGCTGAGTTTTCACTAAACATTTACATCTCAGAAGCTACCTGGTTCCAGAATTTACAGTACAGAGTAATTTTTAGGCCTCTTCCCCTTTCTTGATGGAAGAATCAGTCTGTATTCTTTTCTTACTTATACTTTCTGAATTTTCAAAAATTTTTTGAAATCAGCCCAACTTCTTCTTGTCTGTAAAAAATCTTTTTAGGTCACAAGTTCAGATACCCATACTGGCCGGGGAGAGAGAGAGAGAGAGACACACACACACGAAAAAAAAACTTTTTAAAGTTTTTTTTAAAAAAACTGATAAGTTCTTAAATAATAAACTTTAATGTGAATTTTTTTGTTTTGTTTTGTTTTGTTTTGTTTTTTGTTTTTTGTCCTTTTTGTGACTGGCTGCACCGCGCTCAGCCAGTGAGCGCACCGGCCATCCCTATATAGGATCCGAACCCGTGGTGGCAGCGCTCCCAGCGCCGCACTCTCCCGAGTGCGCCACGGGCTCGGCCCTTTAATGTGAATTTTTAACAATCTCCCCAAAACATTATCGTTAGTATCTTCCCTTTTCTTCCTAGCCCCTCAATAAAAAGAGATGTTTAAAAAAGCTCTAATAGATGAGAAAAAGAGAACAAATGGAAGGCCAGCCAGCCAGTCTTAAGAGGCTAAGTGCTCCATTCTCTCTTCTGCTTCCTATGGCTTGGAAGAACCACCAGGGAAGCAGTTTATTCTTCTTCACATGAGTGAACTGTCAAGTGCAGAGAAGATCTGAGTGCAGGAATGTGGAGGAACTTGAATAATTGGGTAGCCAGAGTTTTTTATATGGAACATCTTTAAGTATTTACTTCCTGGGGAATGCTAATAGGAGTGTGGTTGTTCTCTCTCTCTCTCTCTCTCTCTCTCTCTCTCTCTCTCTCTTTCTCTCTTCCCCACCCACCTCTCTGTGCTTGAATGGCCTCCCTTAAATGGAATGTCTTGATTTTTTGTATGCTTTTTCATAACTTGAGGGCTATAATAAAAAATCTGTTTATGAGACTGATTTAGAGGAGACAGGACTCACTGGCCATATGGATTCTGTTTTTATCAAGTTATATTTCAAGGAGCATATTTTCTTAAGGAAAAATCAGGGCACATCTGATTTAACATGTCAAATCCTACAAAGCTTTAAAAATGAAACAAGATTTAATTATAATTTAACAAGTCACCTTTTTGGAGAAGAAGAAAATTACCTGAAGGTGGGACGTACTCTGTAACTGGACTCAATCTTGGTGCAGTGTGATAGCAGACTGATTCAAGAATTTTTCTGTTTTGCTGTTTATCCGTTAGGCATTCATGAAGGTAATAATGCTATCTTCTAATTTAATGTAATCAAAACTCATATTTTATCATAGTAGCTCTACTATTCTACTCTTCTGTTACAGTAGCTTTATCAAAATAGAGACCAGGAATTTTCTTTAAAAATTGTTCTTAAGCGCTAAGAACAGCTTAGATTTGTATATATCTATATATAAGCATAATTTAGAACTTTCTTCTGAATAAGCTCATCATGGGTAAACTTTTAGACTGCAGTTTATAATAAGATCTTTAATTTATGCAAACAGGCAGCAGCTACCCATGTTGTTGATTGCTAGTTAAGTGTTAATAGAATTAAGAGTATTAAAATATTTTTATAGATTAGTCTTCCTGTTTCTCTTCACACCTTTCATGTTGTTCCACTTTTTGCATTTCAGTTTTACAACTACCAGCACGGTAGGAAAGAGAAATTTGAGTCCTAGTCAAGAAGCTGCTGGCTTGGAGGACAGAGTGTCAAGGGAGATTTCTGATACTGAGCTTGAGCAGACAGATTCCTGTGCAGAACCTCTCTCAGAGGGAAGGAAAAAGGCCAAGAAGTTAAAAAGAATGAAGAAAGAGCTTTCTCCAGCAGGTTTGTATTGGATCTTGCTCAAGTTCTAAGGTTGTGTATTCTTTAAATGCTCTAGAAACTCATATTTTGCGGGAGAAATTATAGCGAGGCTTCACTTGGGGGCGAAGCCCATGTAGTCTTCCATCAAATCAGGTATTTTTAGAATCATTTTAACTTAATTTGAGGAATCCTAAAAAGCCGTGGCTCCGGTAACATAAAGCCTGGTGGGGTCTCCTCATTAAATATGGTTAGTCCATTTTGGTAATCTTCCCTCTCTCCTCCATGGTTTAGAGATTGTACTGATGTGTTTAAAGTAGCCTTAGTATTTAAAATGTGCATTTAAATTTGCACAGAGACTTACTCCTACATGTTATTTTCAGTACCAGAGTTTTCACTGTTCTCAGCAAAACCCCAGGCAACCTGGATTTCTCTCATAAGCAGAATTATATAAGAAGCAAAGGAAACAGGAAATTAACACATGTTGAGAGCTTACAACATGCCAGACACTGTAGTAGGAGCCTTTTCTCTCCTTATTTCATTTAATTTTTGCAACAGCCTTGAGGTTGGGAATCATCATTCTTATTTTCGTGATGCAGATATTTGGGCTCAGAGAGGTTAAGAAAGTCTGCAGGTGCATGTACCTAAATAAAACCAGAGCCGAAAGGGGAACCAGGCCTGCCGGTGCCGAGTCCCACGTTTTCTCCATGCCCAGTCATGCCATGGGGGGTCCACAGCCAAATTCACCACTTGGTGCACAGATCCTGCACAGTGTCAGTGGTAGAGGACAGGAAGGGGCTTTTTGTCAGTCAACATGTGTGAAAGGCCATTCGTTCCCTGCTGCTCAAGGATGTCCAGTCGTGACTTGGCCAGGCAGTAATAATGGGGACAATAATTGTAGCCACTGCTTCCTGAATGCTTACTCAGCGTCCAAGACTGCACTTAATGCTTGGCAGAAATTCTTTCACTTAAGTCTGCAAGACAGTCGTCATTGTCCATTTTAGAGTTAAGCAAATGGAGGCCCAAAGGGTTATGTGACTTGCCCAAGGTCACGGAGCCCTTAAGTCTGTCTTGCAAGAAAGCCAGTGCTTTTACCCATGGTTACATATTGTGTACTCAGGATAAGAGAGATACTGACCTAGATGTGATTGTCGTTCTCCTTTGTCTCACATCGTGACAATTGCCCCGGTTAGCGGAACTAACAATCAAATCAAAGGAAGATAGTAGTCAAACAATGGAACTTGATTCATACCCAAGCTAATACTGCGCTATTTTAATTAATTCCGTTTTTTGTGTGTGGCTTCAGATGACTGTAGAGAGTTTTCTGAATCTCAATGATAATAATGAAATCACAGAAGCAGCAAAAAGTATTGCATATGTTTTTTCTACATTACGCTGAAGCTTAGTTTTAACAGAAAACTTAAATTCTAGTTTGAAGCCTTGATTGTATATTTTAACTCTCTTCTCAAATCCAGGAATCTCCTTTTACTCGCCTCCCTTTCTTCCCTAAATTAAGTATCAGGGAAGTTTTTAATCTGTACATCCATAGCCTTCAAATTTGATACCTTATTACTGTCATGTTGTACATGCTCTACATCTGTTAAATATTAGATGAGAGCATGACTTTTAGAGATCATGCTGTGCATGAGTTGGCAGATGGGATGGGGCTTTTCCCCTCTTGTATCACTGTCCTTCATAATTTGGTCTCTTTTGAATTTTTTCAGTTTATTACTTCTCCCCTGAGCTTTTTGTTTTTTCCTTCTATATCAGCATAATCTTAAAAATATTAAAAGTAAACATACCTAATAATAGACTGCATTAATAGATTAGCTCCTTTTATAGCTTCCATCATTTTTTTTTTTTTCCTTTTTTGTCTTTTTTACTGACAGGTAACGGGATCGCAACTCTTGGTGTTGTGCCCGTACCAGGGACCGGCAACGGGATCACAACCCTCGGTGTTGCGCCCGCACCGCGCTCAGCCAGTGAGCGGGAACCGGTCTCCACATGGGATCCGAACCCTCGGCGGGAGCACCGCCATGCTCCCAAGCGGCGCACTCTCCAGTGTGCCACCGGGCCGGCCCATAGCTTCCATCATTTTAAGTGACAACTTTCTATAAGTTATTTAGGGTTTTGAATTTATAATACTATGATTAGAATAGGTTTTTTTCTCCCATTGACAGTAAAGCTGTCACTGCCACAAGACTTGAGCTAAAAAAAAAAAATTGTAGATTTTGTACTTCTTTGTGAGTACTGCTAAAAAAAAAAAGAGAAAGGGAGACATCTTGACAACTTTTAATTGAATCAGAGAACTTGAGAGAATTGGGCTCTCTTCTAGAGCACCATTCACTGAGTAAAACCTTCTGACAGTGCAAGGTGGAAGTTCAGTGAATCCTTTTCAACTGGTTTGTTTTACACAGTTAATCTTATTATCAGCACGATGTAGGTCACGATATCAGATGCTGAACCTGTTGAATCAACTAATTTTGTTTGTTTATTTAATAGGATCCTAGTCATATAATGAGTGAGAGTACTAAGTTCCAACCCTGTTAGGGTTCTGTATTAAACTCTCAGAGGATTCAGAGTATACCAGGAACCATGAGGGCCTGGTCTTGGTGGTGGCAAGAACTGTTAGAATGTTAGGCACATTGTGGCAAAGTCTGTCCAACCATAACAGTTGTGAGGCATTGGGTTTGAGCTCTAGTACTTGGGAGAGTATTTTGATAAGTTCTCAAATGATTCACTAAGGTTCTGGGTGCTCAGCTCTGGCTGTGACAGCATGAAAAGACATAAAAGACAGGGCATCACATGTGGGAATTTTCTGTTTTCCAAAGAGGAAGTAGCAAAAACTAGGACCGCGGAATATCATGTTGTTAGCAATCCTGAGAAAATTGATTCTCAACAAATGCCACACAGAACAGTGTCATTTTTCTTAGTTATACATTTTGGTAGCTAAGATACACTAGATATCATTATTCCCCAACTATAAAGAAGAAACTGAGGCTCATGGAGTTACAAACTTGCAAAGTCAAAGTATATAGCTGGTATGTGAGAGGCTGTCTGGCTCCAAAGCTTGTGCCCTGCATTGCTCTGCTATGGTGATATTTATCCAAATTTTAAAGGAAGCCAAGGATTCTTTACAAAGGTGGATATTTCTTGCAGCTGTTTTAGATCAGAAACAGTTACCAACCTGGACTTTCACGTGATAAAGGCATTCAATAAAAATCCAAGTGACCATTCTCTGGGGCTAACATTTTATGTACATATTATGTACTCAGCCAGTATTTTTCTGTTAAGTGCGGTTATTTCTATACTGTCAGGTCACCACCTTTTATGTTTATTTTGATTAGTGTTGATTGGTAGTGCTAGCTCCTTTCCGTCTGAGCAATTCAAGGTATATTCTCAGTTGTTACATAAAGGAAAACTATTCTGCATGCCATTTATTCTGGTATAAACTCTTTTAACAAATGTAGTTGTTTTCCCAGAGCATGTTTGAGGGATTTCCATAACACACTTGTTCTTGCTGAGCATGGTGTTCCAGAGGCCTGGAAAAAACCCAGCCTCAGCCTCACCCTCTCACTTCTCCAGGAAATTGTAGGGCCAACATGGATGGACTGACTGGTGCTGCCCAGGCTGACCATTCTCAAAATACTGTTAGGCAGTTACAGTAGCTGGAGGTTCTAGCAGCACCCTGATTGGACAGTGTCTGCAGAGGCATTGACTATTCATGGTTATTTTTTGTCCTGTAAATAGAGACGTGGTTCCAAGTCTTTTTCCCCCTAACATTTAAAACACAACACGTTAGACCTTTAAATGTTTGCCAAGAACTATGAATTTTATTGGAGTCTTCTCTAATCTGCTGAACTTTTCAAGTTTTTAAACCCTTAGGGTTACAATATAAAAATTTAAAGTCTACTTAGAGCAGCAGTCTCCTCATGCTATTACAGGTCTCATTAAAGTTGGAAACAAGATCTACAGTTGCTGCTGTCGGTCACCTGAGACACCAGCCTAAAGGAGTCCAGCGGCCTTCCAAAGAGCGTTTTAATTGCTATATTATTGTGATTTTCAGTTTAACCGTGGCAAAGGAGGTGTGTGCTTCGCTTGTGAGGCAGTGTGCTAAAGTGAGCGTTTGTGCCCACCCTGTCCTCCTGGTGACTCTGGGGGGCTTCTCATCAGCCATCTAGGGGGAGCTCTGCCTTAGTGTGGGGAACCACCAGTTACAGGCCCTCGTGAGCATTTCCTGGTTACAAACTTTTGTATGGCTCCTCAAAGGATCTTTCTATATACAAAATCCCACACTGTGGAAAATGATAGAAGATAGCAAGTTTCTAGTGTACTGTGTAGTTTTTTTTATTCAGTTTTGGATTCACCTGGGAAAGAGATGTATTACCTACCTCTCAGTTTCTCCCTTTCAACTCTAGTTTAGGTGAAAAGGCAAATAAACAGAAGCAATTACCTTTGTGTTCACTGCTTTTTAATTTCTTTGTTTTGTTTTTTTTTTTTTTTTTGTCTTTTTCGTGACCGGTAAGGGGATCGCAACCCTTGGCTTGGTGTCGCCCGCACCGCGCTCAGCCAGTGAGTGCACCGGCCAGTCCTATATAGGATCCGAACCTGCGGTGGGAGTGTCGCTGCGCTCCCAGCACCACACTCTCCCGAGTGCGCCACGGGGCCAGCCCAATTTCTTTGTTTTTTTAAATAAAAATAATGTACTCACTATGAGATTTTGTAAAATGCAGAAAAACAAAAAGAAGAAAATTAAACCCCATAGTCCTAACACTTGATATTCTGTTAGCAAGATTTTTTTACTCTGCTTATCATTTTTCTGCATAGTTGGCATCATACTTGTATATGCAATTTGTGTCCTGATTTTTCCCATTTTAGAAACTGTTGGTCAAATAATCTAAATTATCAGCATTATATTTCATATTAAAATTTTGTGCGATTTTTTAGAAGCACCATTCCTAATATCTTTTGCAGAGTCAACTTTATTAAGGTATAATTTGATTCCAATAAAAGTCATCACTTTTAGGTGTACAATTTGATGAGTTTTGACAAATGTGTACAGTCATAAAACTATCACTGTGATCAAGATATATAACAGTGCTCTCATTCCAGAGAATTCCCTCATGCCCTTTTGTAGTCAGTCCCTCCCTCCTCTCCCAGATCCTGGCAACCACTGATCTGCTTTATATCACTGTAATTTTGCCTTTTCCAGAATGTCATATAGATGGACTCCTTCAATAGGTAGCCTTTTGAGTCTTTGACTTAACTTCTTTCATTTAGCATGAAGCATTTGAGATTCATGTTATAGCATGTATCATTAGTCCATTCCTTTTTATGACTGAGTAGTATTCCATTTTATGCATATATCATTGTTTGTTTATCCATTCCACAGTTGAAGGACATTTAGTTGTTGCCAATTGGGCAATTAAGAATCGAGCTGCTATAAACATTTGTGTACAAGTTTTTATATGAACTAAGTTTTCATTTCTTTTGGGTAAATAGCTAGGAATGGAATTGCTGAGTCACATGATAGGTGTATATTTAACTTTATAAGAAACTGACACATTCTTTTCCAAAGTGGCAGCACCATTTTGTGTTTCTACCAACAGGGTATGAGGGTTCTAGTCACTCTGCCCCATCACCAGTAATTGATATTGGCCTTGTTTCATTTTGGTTTTTTAGCCATTCTAATGGATGTGTAGTGGTATCTCATTGTGGCTTTGGCTTGTATGAGGATACTTCAAAAAGTACATGGAAAGATTCGTCTTATCTTTCAATTGCAGTTTTTCATGAACTTTTTGAAGTACCCTCATATTTCTCTAATGACTAATGATGTTGAGTATCTTTTCATGTGATTATTTGCCATTCAAATCTCTTTGGTGAAATGTCTGTTCAAATTTTTTGCCCATTTTTCCATTGGGTTGTTTGTTTTTCTTACTGATTTTGAGAGTTCTTTATAAATTCTGGATACAAATCCTTTTGAGTATTTTGCAATATTTTCTTCCACACTATGGCTTTTCATACTTTTAACAGTGCCTTTTGAAGAGTAGAAGTTTTAAATTTTGATGAAGTCCAATTTATCAGGGTTTTTTCTTAGATTATGCCTTTGGTGTAATATCTAAGAAATCTTTGCCTGACTCTAGGTTGCAAAGATTTCTCCTGTGTTTTCTTCTGGAAGTTTTATAGTTTTAGGTCTTACATTTAAGTATACAATCTGAGTTAATCTTTGTATATAATGAATTAAGGTCCACCATAGCAGGAAGCAGATGTCCTTAAATATCTGTTTAAAAAGAAAAATCGTTCCTACATGGTTCCTTGTACTCTTATTAAACAGAGCTGTAAAAATGAGTTCTCTGGAAAGCTGACCATAGCTTCTTATCTACTAGCTTTGAGACTAATCTTTTGTCAGTCTGCAGCCTTCCCTTTCTGGAAGTGCCAGAAAGAACACCGGCAGTGATCTTCAGTTCCCCTCTGATCTGGGTCTCCTTTAGATAGCTCCTAAAGTTCTGGTCCCTCTGTGCACATCATCCTTGTTAAGCAGCTGCACATTTAGGCTGTGAAAGCTAGCATCTTTTTGACTGCAAGCTGGTGGCTTCCTAGGCCACTTTATTGATAAGGGGAAGGGAACTAACATTCATTAAAAACTTACCGAAGAACTTTGCTGTATCACAGAAGTTCTATGCATCATGAACCGGTATCACTTTATTTTATAGATGAGGCAATGAGACCTGTTCAAAGTTATTCAGCTAGGAAAATGGCCAAGCCTGACTTGCTTCACTCCATCTCTCCTGTTTATTCCTTTATTCTCACTAGCCCTTCATGGAGTCACTTGCTGTGTGTGTGATGGCTCCCTGCCATGCTCACACACACGCACCCCCAACTCATGGTAGATGCAGTTTACAAGTATTATAATGCAGTTGCATTATAATGATGAGTTGCTTTTAGCAGTTCATCTTTTTTTTCCTTCTCAGCTGGTTTTAATTTTACTTAATTCTCTACATCTGGCCTTGTAGCTTTTACCTTTAGAATGACTAATTGGCTACTATAATATTTCTTTGATAGGTGAATTATAAAAATGTTCTTATTGATGTTGATTTTCCTAAAATTAGGTTTTGTATGAGTGTGTGAATGAAAAGGTCAGGCTAGTTATATCTTATTATGGGCTACCTGCTGTATTTGGTTGTTCTGCGGAAAGGGCTGTTTTTTAAGAAATCATCTTTATTTCTTTTCCAGCTGGATCACGTGAATATTTTTCACATGAATCATCTCCTGCCCGTGTTCACTTCTCAGGAGTAGTCATGCGTGTTCAACACAGCAATGAGACCCAGGGCAGAAAACCTCAAATGATTCTTGTCTTGGTCTCCTCATCCTAACTCTCTAGATCTTATTGCAATAAACTATTGGAAGTGGGAATTCTCATGTTAGCTGAAATTCTCTTTGTGCTATTTCATGTGTTTACACCTAGTTAAATCTTTAGGCATCTTTGTTACTGATGATAACTACTCTCAGCCAAGTGGTTTCCTAGTTTGTAGGACACTGCATCCCCTTCATTTTTAAAAGTTACTCCCCATTTGAGGTGTCATCAAAGACCTCTCTGCTTCTTTGAGATCTTGAAGTGTTAGTTACCTGGGAGAAAGGCTTTGCTGGTTTTCCTGCCAGCCCTGCTTTGTGGCTTGAATGATGCCCCACATCACTTGTGCAGCTAACACCTGGTTGGCCGTGCTCTCTGCTGTGAGTACTGTCTTTCCTCACTTAATTCATATTCACTGAAGTCTGGACATCGGTGGTCCAGGTCCTAACCCAGTTGTGTTGCCGCCACTGCTATTACAGAAAGTAGCATGAATGGAAAGGAAGGGCCTCTAACTTTGAGGTGAAACTGTAACTGAAGAGATCTCTTCAATCCAAAAAGAGGACCTTAGCCAATGTTTCTGAAATTACAAAAAACAGCAAACTTCTTTTGCCCCTTTTGGATCTCTGAACCCCTACTAGTTGGCTTATACCCTCCGCCCTATAGCTGCCCACCTGAGATTTCTCATCTCAGTGCCAGCTACATCACCACAGAGTCCTGGGACTTTGGTAGGGAACTTGGTGCTGTGGAAGGATCCAAACCCGCTCTCAGCTACTTGCTAGCTGTGTGAGACTGGTCACATTACCTCACCTCTTTGAGTCTGTCCTTGCATTGGTAAAATGAGGATATTGATACCACCTTGGTGGGCTTTTATGGACATTAAATGAATTAAGTGCCTAGCATGGTTGCTTGCAAAGAATACAGTGCGTGTGCTCAACCACAGGTAATGTAAGCATTATCTCATCTACATCCACATTTTAATTCCTGTAAAATAAGTAAGTAGAGACAACCAAAGCTGGGGGTGGGGGGAGGGCGCTTCCTTAGTCCCACCTGTGATGTTTTAGTGGCTTTGCCTTTGTTTGCGGGTCACTGCCCTCCATAGACAAGATCTGTCTGTGGACTTTCTCCTCCTGTGGATGTGCGGCCAGCCCCACCCTGCCCCTGTATGAAGCTGCCTTTGCACAGTCAGCACAGGGCGCTCTGTCTCTGCCACTGGTGGTGTGTTCAGCTCCAGGTGCTTTCTTCCCATTCATATTGTTTTGTTTTTGTCCTTTCTCACCAGGAAGCATCTCGGACAGCCCTGCCACACTCTTTGAAGTTCCTGACACGTGGTAACAAAGACCTGAGTGCAACAAACCGCTGGTGCTGTCGCTGAGAAAGAGCCAGCCGGCACGTTTGGAAGCCATACTGTGTTTAATTTAAGAAAATGTGGTATGGGAGGGTTTGAAACGAAGTGTGTCTCCTGAAAAAAAGTTTTTATTTTTGTGGCTGTGTTTCTTCTTTTTAATCTAATCTAAACTGTTGACACTCATCGTGGTTGTAGGCTGTCATGAATGTGTACATTATTAACCAGCTATTTGTTGCTCGTGTGAAACCTTTCCTATCATGAATTAGTGTGTTTAAGAATCCACTTGATGGGGAATGTCAGCTGTGAAATATGCAAAAGGAGCTGACTTTCTGGGTGCTGTGATCATGAAATTGGGGTTGAACTCTTTCCTGCTTAGAGAGGATTTTGTGCATCATCTTATGCTCAGATTTTGGGGCAGTTGCAGTGCATGTTACAGTCTCCTAATGGAGAAATCAGTAGTGTCTCCCTGCTCTCCCTGCTTCCCACCACAGCTGCCTGAAAATATGAAGCTCTCAAGCTTGTTTTTCTAGTAGGAAGATGTCTACCGAGCTCAGCCCATGAAGGAGCTTACCATATGCCTTGGTCTTTGGGGCATATTTACTTAGAATTATTTTTTCTAAGATGTGAGTTTCTCACAGGGAATGTACAAGTTAAAAAGTTAATTTCTGTTCTTACGTGTGGTGCTGTGTTCGCTTTTCAGTGTCTCAGCCTGATTGTCTTTTCTGTTTGTTTGTGTGGCAGTTGAGGTGAGGTGGCATGTGTGCATCTGTGTGCGTGTGTGTGAAATCATGGCAAATCTACAACATGTACCAGCCCTTTCTGTCGAAACACATCACAACAGCAACAAAAATTCATGGATCTACTTCAGTAGATCTGCTTCTGATAGATCATTGTTAGATATTTAACATTTTTGTATCATGGAAATAAAAGTGAGAAATGTATTTCCAAAGGATGAAAATTAAAGAAATTTTCATAGGACCCGTTTTTCCTTTCTGTTTTTTATAAGTGAATGATGTATGTGCTCTCCACATAGTTATGTTCCTCACCCCGAAAAAGATCTAAGTCACTAAGCCTAGCATTCATGATTTTTTTTTTTTTTTTTTGCCTCTAACTCCTGTACTTGCCTTAATGGGTCAGATACCCAGTGCTGGAACTGAGCCCTGCTGGTAAATAGCCATGTAGGAGAGTGGGAGAAATGGGAGCTTTTATGACTCACGTTGGAATTCTGCACTATTATGCAGCTTCAGATTTGAGAGACGCTTCCTCTATCAAGAGCCTCCTAACACTTCCCCTTCCCGCTCCTCTCCTTCTCTAAGAGTTCTGTAGCCACAAAGTTACCAGACTTGGGAGCACCCACCTCTTCCAAAGCTGTCATTGCCCACAGCTAAGTGGGAAAGTGTGAAGGTCGGATGCAGGCAAACTGTAAAGGAAGATATAAACAGGGAAGGTGTGGAGAGGGGACTGCTAGACTGCTGAGACGTTAAAACTCACAGGTAGAAACAAGTAGTACCTGAGCAATCTTTTTAAAAGAAGAGAGAGGGCTGGCCAGTTATCTCAGTTGGTTAGAGAGAGGTGTTGTTAACACCAAGTTCAAGAGTTACTGGCCAGCTGCCAAAATAAATAAATAAAAAATAAAAGAGGGAAAACTGACCCAAGATTATGCATGGCTTGGCATATATATGAAAAGTACACATGGCCTAATGAGCTTGCCTTGTATAAATGCAGTGGGGAAATTGGGGGGTGGGGGAGACAAACCTGTCATGCTTTGTAGGTCTTGTGTGGGAGATGGAAGCCTCTTGCCCTAAGGTAGTGAAAGTTATTGTCCCCAGAGTCTGGCTCAGGAATATACACAATGATCCTTGCCCAGAAAGCTTTACAGACACACACAGCTTTCAACCTCAGTGCAATCTCTGGACTTCAGGTCCACGGAGGAGCTGGAGGAGGAGTGCTTTCTAGAAAGGGTGTGTGCTCCAGAGTCTCACAGAACTGAGCATGCATGCCAGTTTCAGTTCTGTTTTGGATACATTATTTACCCTCTCTGAGCCTCAGTTTCCTCAATCATAAAAGCATGATAATAAAGCTACCTCACAGGGTAGTTGTGAGGATGAGATGAAGTGAGGTAAAATGCCCAGCATGCACAAGTACACAATAAATCGTAGTTCTATTTGAAGATTGTGCTTTTGATCTGAAACCCTTATTGTATCCACTTTTGTCAACTGCAGCTGACATAGGCATAGTCACTGGAATTTGGCTTAGAATTAAATACCTAGTGGAGTCCTCATACATCCCAGACCCCTATTTTCCCAGCTATGTCAGGTGGCTTAAAACAGGTAAACTGGGTTGGCCCACATCCCCCTCCATACACAAATACGAGGCTTTCTTGACATCTCTTTTGGGCATACAACCCTAGGATGGTGCTTCTGGCTTTTTGATACAGAGGCCCAGAGGCATATTGTGACAATGGGGCTGTGGTTTGGGCGCTTCTTGAATATTGTAGCCAAACCTGGGGGGCAGGCATGAGAGTGGGACCTCAGTGTTTCCCTTCAAATACTTCTGTAGTCTTTTTGATTTGGGGGATGGAGACTAAGCACTGTGCAGTTCTATTTTTATAGGTTTGCATTTGTCCATTCCCCCCAACATTTTATTATGATAATTTTTAAACATACAGAGAGTTGAAATAAATGTTCAGTGAACACCCATTTACTTTACCACCTAGATTGTGCAGTTACCATTTGGCTAAATTTGCTTTATTACCCATTCAGCCGCCTCTCTATCCACCTATCAATTCATCTTATTTTTTGATCAGTAAGTTGCAAACAGTACACTCCCCCCTTCCAAATACTTTATGCTTGTCATTAGCCAGAGTTTAATATTCTTTTATGTTTGGGGGTGGGGGGGGGTAAAATTTGTAGTGAAATGCTCAACTCTTAAGTGTACCATTTGGTAAGTTCCAACAGATGCAACCCAACTATCTAGATACATACCATTATTATCACCCCAGAATATTCCCTTCTGCCTCTCTCCAGTCAACCCCTACCCCACTCTCACCTCCAGAGGCAACCACTGGTCTGAACTTTTTCACCACAGATTAGTGTAACCTTTCTGGAACTTTATGAAAATGGAATCATGAAGTACATACTCTCTGGTGTAAGCCTTCTTTCCCTCGGCATGATGTTTTCGAGGTCCATCCCTGTTGCACTTGTATCAGTAGTTCCTTTTTTATTTTTTTGAGTGTGCATATACCACTTTGTTTATCCATTCTTCAACTGATGAACACCTGGGCTGTTTCCAGTTTGGGGCTATTATGAGTAAAGCTGCCGTGAACATTCTTGTACAAGTCTTTTTGAGAACAAAATCTTTAATTTTGCATGGTAAATACCAAAGAGTGGAATTGCTGGGTCATGGGATAGGTGTTGTGTTTAGTTTTATAAGAAATTGCCAGATCTTTTTCCGAAGTGGTTGTACCATTTATATTGTCACTAACAATGTATGAGAGTTCCAGTAGTTCCCTTCCCTGGCAACATTTGGTGTTGTCAGTGTTTCATGTAGCCATCCTAATGGTTGTATAGTATATCTCATTGCATTTTTAATTGCTATTTCTCTGATGACTAGTGATAATGTACTTATTGGCCACATGTATATATTCCTTTGTGAGGTATCAGTTCTATTTTCTTGCTCACATTTTATCAGGTGGTTGTTTTCTCTATTATTAAGTTGTAGAAGTTCATTATATATTCTGGACATCAGTCCTGTGTCAGATAGATTTTTGCAAATATTGTTGGTTATTCCCAATCTATAGCTTGTTTATTTTCTTAACGGTATCTTTTACTGGGCAGAAGTTTTTAATTTTAATGAAGTCTGTTTATCAGTTTTTTTTCTTTCTATGTACTATCTAAGAAACCCCAAGTTGTAAAGATAATCTTCCATGTTTTCTCCTAGAAGCTTTCTAGTTTTAGCATTTATGTGTGTGTTTGTGATCCATCTCGAATTAACTTTTTTGTTGTATGGTGTGAGACTGGAGTTGAGGTTCCTTATGAATGTCCAATTATTCCTGCACCATCTTTGGTGAGGACCTGTCCTATTAAATTACTTGGTGCTTTACTCAAAAATCTGTTGACGTAATGAGTGTGGGTCTCGATTGTGTGTATTTTTAAAGTGTAATGTTATTATTATTACTGAAAGCACAGAGAGAGTCTCCTCCCACTTGGGCTATTTTGCAGCACTTCTCTTGATGTGGAGAGGAAAATGCCATGACAGTTGGTTGCTGCTGAGGCCAGGCCACCCTCCCCTGACCTAAGAAACCAGTGAGTATTAAAAATAGTTTAATCTTTTTGGATACTTTTTTTTTTTTTAATCTCATGACTTAAGTTTCATTACTTTATTGTAATCTTTTCTTTCCCCAAATGATTCATGGAGTAAATCCATGCATCTGATTTTGCCGAGGTGGGGAAATAGAATACTTGTAGGCCAGTTCATGTTTCTCCTGATTGTGAGTCACCCTCTCCTCCAAGTTGACTGGTCCCTGCTAACAACAGTCCAGTTTGTCTTCAGCCACTTGCCTGTTTCTGTCTCAGCTTCTTGCTTTTTCTAGTCATGCTGTGAATTTGAACTTGAGAAAGTTTTTGATGCTGGCTCGGCCTGGTGAAAATGTTGCATGCTCACCAACTAAGAGGATCTTTTTTTTTTTTTTTTTTTGTCTTTTTTCGTGACCGGCAACGGATAGCAACCCTCAGTGTCGCGCCCACACCGGACTGGGACCAGCAACGGGATCGCAACCCTTGGTGCTGCCCCCGCTCCTCACTCAGCCAGTGAGCGGCCGGTCTGCATGCGGGATCCGAACCCTCGGTGGGAGCGCCGCTGCGCTTCCCAAGCAGCGCACTGTAGCAGTGCGCCACCGGGCCGGCCCCAACTAAGAGGATCTTTTTAAATGGAAATATTATAGACAAGATAATTCTTGTCTAACAAGAGAGGACAACAAAAAAAGAGCCCTTTTTCTTTTTTGCGGGGGAGGGGAAGTGGGGATTTTAATCTGTGCTTTGTAAGAAAAGAGTAGATTCTTATGCTGATCTTTTTAAAAGTGAGAACATAGGGAAATACTAGACCAGAAAGTTTGAAGCCCAGGAGCCTTGCCTGGGTGTGCAAGTGTGGACTTGTGCAGAGCCCTGAGTGCAGCCTCAGGCACCCATGCCAGGCCTATGCAACTTTTCCATGGAAACGTCTTGCCATAGTTCTGATACCAGCCAGAACACTAGTTACCAGTCTTTCAACACTTGCCTCTTCCAGCAGAAGGAGGAGTGGGGTGACAGGATTTTACCTGCAGTTGCCCTTGCACGTGCTCTAAGCCTGGACGGTATATCTTCGTTACTGGCAGGTCTTCGGTGGGCAACAGCCAGACTACCAAAGCCACTGGGAGTGAACAAGGCTCCCCACCTGTTTCTGTTGATGATGAGGAAAGCAAAGTCTCTCTGCACATCTCCCCTCTGCGCACTGCGGTTCAGTTTGTGCAGCTACAGCAGGATAGTTTTTTGCAAATATTGTTGGTTATTCCCAATCTATAGCTTGTTTATTTTCTTAACGGTATCTTTTACTGGGCAGAAGTTTTTAATTTTAATGAAGTCTGTTTATCAGTTTTTTTTCTTTCTATGTACTATCTAAGAAACCCCAAGTTGTAAAGATAATCTTCCATGTTTTCTCCTAGAAGCTTTCTAGTTTTAGCATTTATGTGTGTGTTTGTGATCCATCTCGAATTAACTTTTTTGTTGTATGGTGTGAGACTGGAGTTGAGGTTCCTTATGAATGTCCAATTATTCCTGCACCATCTTTGGTGAGGACCTGTCCTATTAAATTACTTGGTGCTTTACTCAAAAATCTGTTGACGTAATGAGTGTGGGTCTCGATTGTGTGTATTTTTAAAGTGTAATGTTATTATTATTACTGAAAGCACAGAGAGAGTCTCCTCCCACTTGGGCTATTTTGCA